ACATTTGCTAGGATCTGGAATAGTTAACAGCTGGAGACATTAGTTATGTTTGAATCCTTTGTTACCAGGCAACCACAATACAGAATGATAGCCATTTGGTAAAGGACGCTCAAAACTATGGGGTAAATTGACAACATTATAGTTGTCACAAATATGATGTGGAAGCAGTTAGCCATCCTGCGAAAACATGACCATTTGCAAAGGACATATTCCCACTCATCCATCCACAGCATGCTGCTGTTAGATCTTTAGCTTTCTTACTTGCAGCAGGAGGAAAATAGAACATTTGGATACAGTCCCAAGTCTGGCTTTTGGTAACAAGATGTTATTCTGCAATCTACAGATACTTTGATGAGTTTCTGCAGGAAGTCACGCTGTCTAAAATAAAAATAATGCTTCAGTCTGAAGTAAGTCCAACATGTCAGTATATTTTCATGCCTATTGTGGTTCTGAAACACCTCCGCCCTCCCCCCCCAGAACTCACTTCTCTCCTACACAAAAACACGGGGGAGTGAAAAAGGCCTTCTTCAAACTCCAAGCACTCGAGAGTGAGTGAGAGAGAGAGAGTGCGCGAACAAGGGAAAGTTTCAGTTCCACACCAGACACGGGTGCCAGAGGAATAGGTATCACAAACTCCAATATGTGCTATGCAAAATGCCTATTGTTCCAAATGCTATGTACTGTGCTATCATTCTATTACGCAGTCTTTGCATCTCCCGTGGCAGCAAAACTCAGTCAAGCCCGGATTCATGAACACCTGCATCCCTACTCTGCAAAGCACTTGAACTCATGCTTGCTGTCCCATTGAAGCTAGTATTTTTGTTTTTCCTCAAAAGAGATGACTTAAGCACATGCTTAAGTGCTTTCCTGAAGCACCACCCTTCTGCTTCCTACTCCTCTTTCAACAAAGTGCAATAAGAAGCATGGATTTCGGCTTGGAAATCCATCAGGTTACCAGAGTGTCATGCCACATTGGAACAGCTACCCCCCGATGACAACCTGGTGAGAGGCTGTTACAGGCTCAAGTTCCACCCCCATGCTGTTCACTAGCTGGTTGTACTAGATGTCTTCTTTCCTGCTCCACAGGCTCCCAATTTTCTTTAAATTGCCTTTTTAAACTGTCACTGCACCTCACTCACAGAGAATGCTGTCTGCGTTCTCAAAGTATGTGCAATCTGATTTGTATGAAATTTGGTCAATTTCATATACTGGTTGTGTTGTTTACAGTGATTTTTTTTATTATTTCAAGCATTACAAAGCTTTTCTTGGTACACAGTGATGGGGCTTTCCGGTAGCAAGCTTTCTAAAATAATTAAAAGGATGAATCATTATCATGAAGCAATGGTTCTTATATCTATTAGGACAGTTATTTTAAAAATGTTTTGATGAATCATATGGAACCACTCACAAATAGTGTATTATACCATGTTCATAAATATATTTCTTAGGAGAAAATAATTTTAAGAAAACAGCAGAGGCTTTTAACATTTTAATTGAAAAATATTTACAGCAGATGTTAGAAATGTGATGTTACAATACTGACGCATGCAAAACGGTGCTGGTTCTTTATTTGGCCTTCTACAAGTCTCTTTCAGATTTTCCAGCCAGTTCCATTAATTCAGTTTGGAAGTTTCAGTCTTGGATTTTCAGAATGCTTCTTTTCTCCAGATCATTCATTTCTTTCAATATCAGGGCAACGTTGTACCTTAATTCTTGAAACTTTGCAACTGGCACCTGAAACATAAGGTTCATTAGAACTGTGACTCATCTGGCTAATTCACCCATATGGATGGAAAACATTCTAGAACATCAGACAACATTTGTATAGACTTTAAACAAGATCAGAGGTTAAACTGCTAGATAATAACATAAGAATGACCACTGTGAAACAGACCAGTTTGCCGTCTAGCTTCAAGGGTGGGGCCAGATGCTTCAGAGGGACTAAACAAAAAAAGGTAATTTATTGAGTGAACCATCATCTCCCCTGTGGTCCAGTCCCAGCTTGTAGCAGTCAGAGGTTTAGAGACAAGAGCATGGGGACTGTGTCGCTGACCATCTTGGTTAATAACCATTGATGGACCTATCCTCCCTGAACTGGTCTAATTTTTTTTGAATCCAGTTATTCTTTTAGACTTCACAACATTCCTTGGCAACCGGTTTCAGGTTTTTATGTTGTGTAAACAAGTACTGCCTTATATTTGTGTTAAACCTGCTGCCCATTGATTTCATTGGGTGATGCCCAGTTCCTGTGCTACGTGAAGGGATAAACAACACCTCCCTAATCACTTTCTCCCTGCCATTCATAATTTTATAGACCTCTCTCAACCCTCACCTCCAGTCATCTCTTTCCCAGGTAGAACAGTCCCAGTCTTTTAAAACTCTCCTTATGTGGAAGTTGTTCCACACTTGTTGCCCTTCTCTGTACCTTTTCAAATTCTAATACATCTTTTTTGAAAAGGGGCAACCAGAACTGCACAGTGTTCAAGGCGTGGACACATCTTGGACTTATATAGTGGCACTATTTAACTTTTGTTGCCCCAGGTTGGACCTCCTTGGTCCAGCACCACGGGACCCGACCACTCCTGAATGAGAGAATTTGCCGGACTAGGGGAGGTCTCCTGCCACTGGCTCCCAAGCTTATCACCTGCTGCTGGCAAGCTGCCTTCTCCCCCACCTCTAAACTGTCTGGGCTCCTTGGGCAGCACAGTTTCTGGCTCCTGCTGTAGAGCTCCGGCTCTAGCCTCGTGCTCCCAGGGGGCTGTCATGGTGCCCTGGCCCTATGCGCCGAGGGGGCTGCCACAGTGCTAGAAACTGTTGCAGGACTCCAGTCCCGGTCTCACACTGCCCCCAGCTGGATGCTGACCCTCCTGCCCGTACGCTCCTGGGATCTTTAGCCCAAGAGCATTGATGGTCCCACTGGATGTTGCCGGACCAGAATGTGCCGGTTTTTGGAGGTATAGCCTGTATTCTCTCTCTCTTTCCTAATGGTTCCTAACATTGTTAAGCTTTTTGACTGCTGCTGCACACTGAACAGATCTTTTTAGAGAGCTCCTCATTATGACTTCATGGCCTCTTCCTTGAGTGGTAACAAGCTAATTTAGACACCATCATTCTGTATGCAGAGGTGGAATTACATTTTCCAATGTGCATTAGTTTGCATTTATTAACATTGAATTCCACCTGCCATTTTCTTGCCCCATCACCTAGTTTTCTGAGATCCTTCTGTAACTTTGCAGTCCACTTTATACTTAACAGCTGAATGCCTGTTGGCCAAATCCACTGTGGGACTTAAAAGAAAAAGCTGCATTGCTTCTATGCAGGGAATCAGCCTGGGAATACAGGAGTGAATGCAACTATTCCCAATTAGGCACTTCCACTGGAGAAGCTGAAGCATCTGATTTCCCCGAGGAGGCCACATATCAGAAGAACAAAAAAAACAGGGCTTAAAAAGAAAGGCTATAGGAAAGGAATAAGGCAGTGCAGGAGAGGCATTGGAAAGAAGTCCACGAACTGATGTATTTGAGGTGCGTCAGTGATGGTTTCTCATGGCCACCCTGTTAAGAGCAGCATCACTTAATTTTAACATCAGTGAACAGAGGAAAAATAGCAAGTGAATTACATTTTTTCCCAAGCAAATAATGGGAGTTTTGCTGCAGAAAGTGGTTCTGTGTCCGGTGAGGGTGTTTTTGGCAAAAGCTGAGGAATAGATAACAACAAGGAATGCATGGTCAGAGTAATGACTAACCGGAGAGCAAGCTTCCAGAAAACACCTGCCAAGCAAAAGGAAAAACTAAAATGTGATAAGATCCATTTGCCAAAGCACAGTAGGTGCTGCAGGTTTTAAGACTGGCAGCAGCGTTTTGTGGATGACAGTATAATTTCAAAGAACATGTGAATGGGTGGCTAGCTAACACACCGGGGATCAAAATGCACCTCTGGAACATCCCAGGGCTGGCAGGTGATGACTCCAGGAAATAGGAGAGGTGTGACTTTTGACAAGAAATAGGGAGGAGCGGCTCCAGGGGGGGAGCCGGAGCAACGTAGGTCTTTTGAAGAAGTGGGAAGAGAGTAAAGATGGGGAAGCCAAGTAGGTCACACCACATCTAGCAATGATGATTTAGGTGCAGCGCTTTGCACTGTATCCAGGAAAGAAGTAGGCAAGCAGAATTGGTTGCACCTCTGCAGATTATAAGATATCTTTGTGGGTTTGCTAGATGAGGACGCTTTGGTGGGTCCTAGCTGCACTGCACTGACTCTCTTCTGTAACTTTACAACAACACAGAAAGTTGGAAAACCCCACAAACTCAAAGCAGGCTGAAAGTTTGACAACTGCTGCCAAGAAAACACAATTCAGGCTTGGTAAACCAATCCCCCGAAGTCCCAAAATCAGGATATAGATGGTATCAGTGCAAGCGAGCATTTCTTGGGTATAAAGGGTGCCGCTTGTTCAAAATGACTGGTTTAGGACTGGAACTTTCATGCTACATTTATTTAAAACAAGTGGTAAAGGCAGCTCCTGTGCTTGTCAATATAAATGAAGCAGTAGCTTAGAAAAAATCAGCATGTCAGCCCAGAATTCTTCTCATGACTCCCCCTCTCCACTAACAGGACGGAAGTGTGGGGCTAATGGAGGAGGCATAGGACTGAAAGTTGGGGAGATATGTTCCAGTCTCAGCTCTGCTACTGACTTGGTGTGTGACTCCAGGTTCTGTCTCCTTTCATCTTCTAAATGGGTATTATTTGTACTATTACCGCAGTGCCTAGGACCCCGAGCCTTGGGACAGAACCCCACCTTCAGGGCCCTATCTGAGAACGGACTATCCCAGGGCTAAGTGTTACAGCTCCGGTCTGAAGAAGGTACCGAGAAAGCAGGTGTGGAGACATACTTCTAAACTGTGAGAAGAGCAAACGGAGGCCATGTGAACTTCACAGAACATCGCAGGAACATGAGGTCAGCTGTGAGTAGCCAAGGCAAGTGTAAAACAAGAGGAACACTTCAGCACAGGTCAGCATGCAAGATGATAACCACAGGAAGCACTATACTATACTCTCTGCAAGGCAGTAAACCCAGCTCTACCTATACAGAATTGCCCATTCAATCAACCTACTCGCATCTACATGCCGTCAGCATATGACAAACGTGATGGGAATAGCCAGATGACTATGGTAAGGACAATGTAACCAATAGAAAAGCGTAAGAACCAGATGCAGAAGAAACATTTTGCTGCAGTGAATGAGGGGTTTAAGGCATAATGAAATCTTAGGAAGCAGTGACGGTACTCCATGGAAGGTGAACGATGCTGGCCAGTGCTCCAAGAGAATTTTACTCAAACACTTCGAAGACCATACACTTCCAAACATTAAAACATTGGGCTGTACAGAGATAGCACCCAGGAACTACAGGAACACCATCCAACACAAGCCTACAGAATGGAGAATCTCTAGCGAAAGAAGATCCTCCAGAAGATCCTCAGTTGACTAATCAAACATTCCAAGTGTGACCCTAGTTGCCAACAACAGACGTTATGCTTGTTTTAGACCCTGAGGGTACATCTAAACTACATCCCTTTTCGATAAAGGGATATAAATCAGATGTATCAAAATTGTAAATGAAGCCAGGATTTGAATTTCCCGTGCTTCATTTACATAATAGAGTCCATGGCTTTTTTTCGAAAAGCCGCTTTTTGAAAAAAAGCCACGGTTAAGATGGGACATTTTTACAGGATCTTTCGAAATGGGGCATTTCTGTCGAAAATGCCCCGTCTTAACCACGGCTTTTTTTTTAGAAAAGCAGCTTTTTTAAAAGCAGCCACGGACGCCATTATGTAAATGAAGCGTGGGAAATTCAAATCCTGGCTTCATTTACAATTTTGATACATCTAATTTACATCCCTTTATTGTAAAAGGGATGTAGTTTAGATGTACCCAAAGAATCCAATGTTGAAAGAAGAAATACAACAAAAAAAAGTCACTTTTGCAGTGATGGCAGAGACTTCAAAGTAGCCCATCCAATCCCAAAGTATTAAACGAATATACCCCCAGGATTCCCCAAAAGACCACAAAGAAAAAAAACAACATTACAGTAAATCTTGCCTGATCTCAATTAAAGACTTTTTTGGAAATTAATGTTAAGCCATTACATTATTTGTCGCATCTATGCATATTTGACACAAGTTAACAAACATACAGACTACTAGCTCTTAGTGTGTCATCAGCAATGCGGAAACTTTGCAAGAGATTTTTGGAAACCAGTTTTCACTTTTTTATGCTGGTATGACAAGTAGAAAATAATCTCAAATTTCCCTTTTGAAAATTAATTTTAAAAAAAATTTCCACAAGTTCAAACTCTTTGGGATTTTTAAGGAATCCACATCCTGTTTTGAACAACCATAAAAACCTGACAATGTGCATGCAGGCATTCCGGAGGCCAAATGAGGATTTTTTTTTTCATTTTTATTTTTAGAAGCAAGACGGTAACTTAAGAACAGCAAATATATTTGAAACCAAGATTATGGGTAGTTTAAATAATTTATATTTTATAGTTCAGTCACAGTTGGAACTATTTGAACTTCCAGACAGTTTGGATAAGTACCAGAATTAAAAAACCTCTGACTCTATTCATATTCTGTAAATTGGAAAGCAGTTATGACAGATAATACCTTAGGTATAATAATGCAATTACAATGGTGTACTATTAAGGCAGTTATGAAAAATGTGGCCACGTGACTTTATGCAAAACGCACATTCAGATAACATTAAAAACTGCACGCTGGCTGTCTTCTGAGTCCCCCTCCCCCTTCCTGCAGAGGTGAATACGAAGGTTAAACAACATTTTACCATCCGAGTCACTTAACAGGATGTGTGTGTTGATTGACAAAAATACATCAGAATATATGAGAACCAGTTTCCCCTTCAAACTGTCTTCTAAGCTGTGGTTTCTTTGTTCCCTGTTAGTTAGCATCCAATCTGCTCATCAGATCCATGGGTTGGATTAGAGATAAGCTGCAGAAGTGACTACTTATCCTGGCTGAAACGTACTAGCATGGCTTATCCAAATGCTTCCATGCTCCAAATAAGGATCCTTGCAGCCTACACACATTTCTGCAAGCCCCAAAGGATCTTCAAAAGGGGATGTGGTCTGTCCAAAATAAAGCGGCCTTGGGTCCATGATTAACTGAATTACGGGGTATAGAGAGTATAGTCTTTGCACTTTGTTTTCACTACAAAATGTCATTATGTTAGAACACTGCTTCAAAGAGACCCATTAGCTAATAATACAGAGACCATGATTTTGCAATTGGTGTCCATAAGGACAATTTAAGTTCAGCATCATGTCAGCCCTGTCCTACTTAAACCTTGATCCTGGTGCAGTTTAGCCCTGATTAGCTGACACAATGGTGATGACTTATCTTTGTATCTAAGGCCAGGTCTGTTCCATGGTTGAAGGTCAGCTTAAGGTACGCAATTTCAGCTAAGTAAATAATGTAGCTGGAGTCATCACACCTTATGCTGAACTTTGGCGCTGTCCCCACAGCAGGAAGTTGAGGGGAGCACACCTTATGCTGAACTTTGGCGCTGTCCCCAGAGCAGGAAGTTGAGGGGAGACACTTTTCCATCGACTTCCCTTACTCCTTCCGAGGAGGAGGAGTACTGGTGCTAATGGGGGTACCCTCAGCGTTTGATGTAATGGGTCTTTACTAGACATGCTAAATCAATTGTCAAAAGATCAACCACTGCAGCGTCATTTTTCCCACAAGCCTAGATGCGTTCAAAGACATGGTTAGTGATATTAGCTAACCTGATTATTTACAGTCATAGTTTAACATGACATTAATTAGAGAAATGATGCTCTTAGACAAAATAAATGGGTTTCAACTTTTCTTCATCTGCAGATATCTAAAAAATTTCCAGGGGAGGTGCAGGCTCCTTTGGAAATCCTAGACATAGTCTTTCGACCCCCACAGGTCCATGGCCTACATGTGAAAACCACAGGAATAACTGGGGCACAGTGTGAAAGGATGTGGTCACAGAAGACCTATTGGGGTTGCTTCTCAATCACATACAGTAACAACCTCACATATGATTACACTTGGAAAATAGATGAGCAAATGCATAATATAGATCTGCTAATGTCAGGGTCTTAAAGAAAAGGTTAGCCACGCAGATAATTAATGAGGCTGAGACTATAGTTACATATAGAGCTTACACAGTTACAGAAATGGAATGCCTCTTGTGCATGGGTCATGTAAAATTTGCATCCATATTCCTCACCACTTCGGAAGACATTCATTTTTCAGCATGAACAAACAAATCTAATGGATTTCTCTTTACCACTGCAAACATCAAAAAGCCAATGAATTCTTTGCTTCGGTCTTTATGGCTGAGGATGTTAGGGAGATTCCTAAACTTGAGCCATTCTTTTTAGGTGACAAATCTGAGGAACTGTCTTGGATTGAGGTGTCATTAGAGGAGGGTTTGGAACAAATTGATAAATTTAACAGTAACAAGTTCTGAAAGAACTCAAATGTGAAACTGCGGGACTATTCACTGTGGTTTGTAATCTATTCTTTAAATCAGTTTCTGTACGTAATGACTGGAAGATAGCAAATGCGACACCAATATTTAAAAGGGGCTCTACAGGTGATCCTGGCAATTACAGCCCTGTAAGTCTAACATCAGTATTGGGCACATCAGTAGAAACTATAGTAAAGAATAAAATTGTCAGATAGATTAACATAATTTTCTGTAAAGGGAAATCATATCTTACAAATCTATTAGAATTCTTTGAAGGGGTCAACAAACATGGGGACAAGGGGGATAAAGTAGATATAGTGTGCTTAGATTTCCAGAAAGCCTTTGAACAGGTCCCTCACCAAAGGCTCTTAAGCAAAGTAAGCTGTCATGGGATAGGAGGGAAAGTCCTCTCAGGGACTGATAACTGGTTAAAAGACAGGAAACAAGGGGGTAGGAATAAATGATCAGTTTTCAGATTGGAGAGAGGTAACTAGTGGTGCCCCCCCAAGGGTCTGTGCTGGGATCAATCCTATTCAATGTATTTATAAATGATCTAGAGAAAGAGGTAAACAGTAAGATGGCAAAATTTGCAGATGATACCAAATTGCTCAAGATAGTGAAGACCAAAGCAGACTGCAAAAAGCTTCAAAAAGATTTTACCAAACTAAGTGATTGGTTAACAAAATGGGGAATGAAATTTAATGTTGATAAATGTAAAGTCATTGTGGATAATTCTTTGAAAACATACATTTAGTGTGCAGCAGCCACCAAAAAAAAAATCAAACAATGTTAGGGATCATTAAAAAAGGGAGAAAGAATAAGACAGAGAATGTCTTATTACCTCCATATAAAACCATGGTACGCCCACATCTTGAATACTGCATACAGATGTGGTTACCTCATCTCAAAAAAGATATACTGGCATTGGAAAAGGTTCAGAAAAGGGCAACAAAAATGATTAGGGGTTTGGAATGGGTTTCCTATGAAGAGATTAAAAAGACTGGAACTTTTCATCTTAGAAAAGAGGAGACTAAGGGGGGTTATGACAGAAGTCTATACAATCATGACTGGTGTGAAAAAGTGAATAGGGAAAAGTTATTTACTTGTCCCCATAACACAAGAACTAGGGGTCACCCAATGAAAAGAATAGGTAGCAAGTTTAAAGCAAGCAAAAGGAAGTTTTTCTTTACACACTGCACAGTCATCCTATGGAACGCCTTGCCAGAGGAGGTTGTGAAGACCAGGATTCAAGAAAGAACTAGATAAATTCATGGAGGTTAGGACCATCAATGGCTATTAGCCAGGATGGGTTGGAATGGTGTTGTCCCTAGCCTTTGTCAGAGGCTGGAAATGGATGACAGAAGAGGGATCATTTGAAGATTCCATGTTCTGTTCAGTCAGTCTGCGGCATCTGGCATTGGCCACTGTCGGAAGACAAGATACTGGGCTAGGTGGACCTTTGGTCTGACCCAGTACTATTCACTGAAGAACTATTTATTTGGATTAATTATCTTGGTCTCCCAGTCCAAACATCAACATGTCTGAGCTAGCAGGACACTCATCTGCCTGAATAAGGCACTTTGAACTAGCAGATGGATTTACCCCCAAGACCTCATACCAACTCTTGGGGTGTAAACATGTGCAAAAATCCTGCTCACAACCAGTTCTGCAGCACCCAGATCTATGTGGCAGGTGGATTAGGATTTAAAATGAGACACGCTGCTTGTGAATGCTGATCTGCAAGTACTAAGGGAGACCCAGCAGCAGATCTCCTTGAGAGGATAGCTCCACTTTGAAAAAGGTACAGAGAGTTGCATTGCCAACTGCCTTTTTGGGGTCTGATGTCCCCTCTGGACTGAAAACCATGTACCCCCAAGACCAATCCTAGCAATTAAGGGAAGGAGGAACTGATTTTCCAATAGATTTTTGAAAATATTTGTAACTTTCAGCTGTGCTCATTTTTTCTAGGTAAGGTGAAATTCATTCTAGCGCAGAGGTTTAACGCAAAGCCTATTTCAGTCTTGAGTAACCTCTCAAAGTCATATTTAAACGGAGTGCTGCCCTTGAAGCCGGCCTCTCAACATAGGGGTGAATTTCATCCTTTGTTACATAGCACCTTAAAGACTTGACAAGGTAGCAAATCACAATTCAGCCTTTCCAAGCAGCTGTTATGTTAAGTCTTTCTGTGAAAGAGTTTTCTATGTTAAACATAGTAAAGGTTAAAAACAATGAGCAGTCCTGTGGCATCTTAGAAACTAATATATTATATTCTGAGCTTTCGTGGGTAAAACCCACTCCATCATATGAGCTGGAGTGGAAATTACAGAATCCAGTCAATTGTAGGACCATGAGCTGTGAAGTGAAAAATTCATTCTAATACCTGGTGCATAATCACTAGATAACTAGTGTATGAATTGAAGCCAAAAGTATTAAAAGGTGAACTACTCATGCAACACAACGTTATTTATAGAGGGCAACATTCTATTACAAAGGTTAAAATACAGACGAGTTCATGCCATTTTCTGGGAAGGCATTATGTACAATGTCATGCCCTTGCATAATTTGAAGTAAAGGTGACACCACAGATTTCTGTTTTCTTACCAGAAGCAGAAAGTGTACTAAAGAGAAAATGAATAGAGGAGCCCTGCAAATCCGTGGATACCTGCCAATATTCTCTTTGGGATATTCACTTTATATCCGGGGATGTAGAAGTGGATCTCTGTGGCTCATTTTTGTGGATACAAATATTGTATCTGCACAGGGCTCTAAAAATGAGTAAAGACACCTGATAACTATCTTTGGTGGCACAATTATCAGGCATAATGGTGCATCATGCATTTCATAAATTGCTTCAGTAACTTTCTAGCCATCAAAAACCATTGTCAGGTTTTAAGATCACAGTCGGTAATAAAACTATGAAGTGTTACTCATGAGAAATTGTGCAGTACTACTTCGGAGTGATGACTATTACTTGGGGAAAGAAAGTTGTAACACCACATGCCCAAGAACAAGGTAAGAAATCATTTTGGCTGAAGTTTTGTAACATGTTGCATGTGGCTGCACATAACTCAGAAAATTCTAAAAGAAAAAAAATCAATAAAAATGAATCGCCCATGAAGGCTTTAACATTTTTAATAGCCATTTAACTTTCTAAAAAGAATACTAAGTGGGTCGGTCTCTATCTATAAGAACAACAAGAGACTTACTTCAAAGCGATGAGCTGTTCCATCTGAAAGCTTCAGCAACATTAAAATGGATGGTTGCAATGCACGGGCCAATGAACTGAAATTATTTACATAATTAGCATTAAAATAGCGCACATTTTCAGTGCTAATATATAGCATTATAAGTTAACCCTTTCAGATGTCCGAGAGAGAGGCCTTATACAGCGATGTTAGAGTTTAACCGATTTAACCGGATAACTGATAAGCTAATGCTTATTGGTTAATGTTATCCGTTTAACTCTATCCTACAGTGAAGTCACCTTCCTAGGAGCAGGGCCCTACTTCCAGGGAGGCTTCATGGCAGGTTCTGCAGTATGAAGCTTAATAAAGCTTTATACTGCAGAGCCCACAGCGCATGCAACCACTAAATCAGCGGTTACATGGTTACCTTATTAAATGACTTTTAACATCCCCTGTCTCATATAGCTCACATGAATAATTTCTGAACATTTCAATCCAGCATTTACCTTGGGCTGAGTAAGACATTCAGAGGAACACATTCACAGAACCTTACCAAATTCACTTGCGTACTGAGGTAGCAGCATAAAAAAAAAGGAACCTTTATATTTCAAAGGGAATGTATTCAAACTTGCAATCATTACAAGTCAATCCTGGTGTAATGTCACTGATAGCTGTGAGGAATTATAGCCCAAACACGGTTAGCAAAAAAGAATCTTCCTAGATATCTAAGGTCATCCAAGATCATCTTCCTAGATATCTTAGGTCAAGCAGCACTAAGCAACAGTGCCTAAGTTGACTAAATCCTTCCATTCTTCCTATATTCTAAACTGCCGCTCCGGCTGGGGGAATCAAACTCTCCTGAAGACTGTGCTAAGTTTGTAGCTTGCTATTTTATTCCAGAGTCTATTCGGTGACCTGAAGAGTAGGAAATGAGTCATCTCTGTGCTACTTTCCATCATCAGATCTTGCCAAAGCCAGGTCAGGTACTGACAAGCGTCAGGGCCGGAAGCCTTGGGATCACTCTGCTTCCTCATCTCTTAAATAGAGAGGTGGCCTGATGATAAACAAGCATTGCTGACTGGGAGGGGAGTGGTAGGGTGACTGGAAAGGCAAATGAAAGGGAAGAATACAGAAAGCAGAAGATACAGCATTCCTGAGTTGTTTGGAAGGAATGGCAACAGCTGTGCCAAAGCGCATTTCTTCCCATCTGTTTGCCTTTGTCACTGAGATAGAGAATGCTGTCGTGCACTCTACTCAGGGCTACGCTCTGACACCATTCAGAAAGTGCAACTAGTTCCAAAGGTGGCAGGCTTACTAATAGTATATGCTGGAGCCCAGAGCACCAACGCTCTAAGAGCTGCACAGGTAGCCGATGGGATTCCAGGTGAAAGTCAAGGTGGTAGTCTCGGGATATAAGGGCAATCTTATCTAAGGGACTGCCTCTCCCCTTGGACCACACACACAATTGCAGTCAGTGGAGGGGCTAGAAATGGCACCTCTCTAAAAAGGGAAGTTTCTTTTTACTTCCACGCTTGGCCTGCCAGAATTCAAATTTATTAGCCTTCTCCCCAGGTTGCAAAGTTCATTTTTCTTTGTGGCATTTGGGGAGGGGAACAGGATGTGATTTGCTATTATATGATGTAATTACATAGAGGGACTGGAATGGATTAAAATTATGGGCAGGTCACTAAACAAGTTTGTTATATGCATTTTAAAATACCGAAAGGGTCTCTCAGTTTTGGAGGGAGCTTCTAGCCTGCGTGTTTTAGAAATCTAAACAAACAACGGAGGGCATTAAAATGCATGACTGTATTAACAAATGATGCAAGCATTTCCAACAGACTGATTTTATGTAACAGTAGCCTTGTATGTAATCTGATTTGGGTGTTACTCAAGGTTATTTCCATAATGTACCATTTAAGAGTGCATACAAAGCTATCAGAATGAGAAACATTTTACCACTGAAAAATGGCACTGCAATTAAGTCTCAGAATTGGAAAAACCTTTTCGCTGGTCCCACAGGCTTTTATTCCTTACCTTGTGGATATAGCCACATCCACTCTCCATTTCATGTCATTAACACTTGGCAACCTGTTTCCGTGTTTCATAGAACTGGCATCAACAACAGGACGCCTAGAAGATAAACCAGGGAAGGGAAATTATGATGCATATGTCTAAGGAAAAAAATGGAAAGGGCAAAAATCTCTCTCATTGCAAGCAAGTTTCCCCTCTGCGTCTAGCATCATTCAGAGCAGTCTGAAAAACTGTGGTTTTGTAAAGGGACTGCATCTTGTGGTCAGTGCTTCTCACTTTTTGTTGCGCTTTCCAAAAGGTAATTTATCAAACTACTGTGGTTAATTTCAGTAAACTGAGGTCACAGTAATGATCTGTAAGAGTTATGGTAGAGACCTGAGTGCTGAAATTAGAAACATAACATATAAGTCAGTGATGCACTATTTACAATTAGGGTCTTCTGCCAATATATCTTTATCTCCATGTGAGGCCAGCGCTGACAAATAAGAAAGGAAAGAGGGTTTAAACAAGGAAATTAAGACATGCAAACATGCTCCTCCCCAACTGCCCTCCCCTGAGCAAACATACAGACCTGCTGCAGCAGAGCTCGCCTAGTGTCAATTAACATCAAGTTAAAAAATGTTAACATCAGGGAGCAGTCTGAAGCATGCAGTAAAATGTCATCTCCTGGGTCCTTGTTAGAGTATGTAAAGTGGGTAGGATTAGAGTTCCTTATGTAATGCTCACAGCAAGCCCCAGCATGGCTTTTATGATTTTGTCTAGTCTAATAAATTAAAGTTCTGGCTTTTTACACAGTATTTTGTAGCAAGAGTCAGACATGCTGGGTTTAAGTGAATTTCTATGAGAAAATGCAGTTGTCAGTGATTAAACTTTAGAAGACCGACAGTCCTTACAATTTTAATAGCATCTTAAACTCAGGGTAAGTAAACAAGCCAAATCAGATACAAAAACACAACCACCATCCATTTTTAGATATACTCTCACAACTATCTCTAGAATGAGGTCACTCAGTGGTCTGCTGGGGAGACAGTCTGAACTTGGTGTTACTTTTTTTTTTTTGTGCTAAGCTTCTTGTGCTAGTGCAAGTTATTTATGGTACATTTGAAGCTACTCCAACCCAGGGCTGGATGATGCGTCACAATCTCATTACACATTTATTTCAGAAGGGTTTCCTTTTTTCACAAACGATGATACATTTGTTTGATAATCTAATGTGTCTGCTTATAATTTATCCAGAGAAATTAGCAGTTAGACAAAGGTGCGTAACACCGACAGCCTAAGGTAGTATAATGCTCTCGAGTAGAGCAAAGGCAACCCTCACCCCCCAAAACAACACATCACAGGTTATTTTCAGAACCAAGAGGCATCCCTGATAGTGTGGACGAAACAAGTGCATAGAAAATAGATCTGGCTCTTGCCGATAGTCGGTCTGTGGATAAGAAGTAGGTCAACACAGCTGGGTGCAAATATGAGGAGTCAGAGCCTAGAAATGGGCATTAGCAGAAGCCTGATAGGCTTAAACAATATAAACATACCTTCCCCTCAATGGTGAGCTGCTACAGAGTATCATGTACAGGGAATCTTCGCAAAAATATCTATGTGGCTATTCCCTGCCTTTTTACATGTTAATGTCAGTCAGTGGAAGACACTTCAGCAGGGTCTCCGGGGCAGGAATGGAATAAGAAGCCTTTTCGGTTTTCTATGTTGCTGACGGTTGGTGTTGAAAGTCCACAGTGCAAACAAGTAGGTGACGACGAGACTTGGTGTCTGACTCACTTAGAGGTCACAAAAACTGTCTCAAAGCTTCGATCTTCAGTTTGGGGCTGGACTGAGCATTAAATACCAACCTCTTAAAAGGGCTTAGAAGGGGGATATTGATAGCTATAAACTTTTCTTTACAAGCAAGTGTCATTTTCACTGAACACCTTCTTAACCGTTTCCATCTAAAATACAAATGCAGCTGGATCCGGAAAAAAAATCAATGTATAAGAACATGGCAAAGAAACCCAGCAACCAAAGTGAAAAGAAATGGGGTGATGGTGACAGAAAAAGAGTTTATTTAGACTGCAAAACATAAGACACTTTTATTTCACAGATTCTTCACTGCACCTGCTAAGATTCTAGTCCTCCAAAGCACATTTTTTTTGGGGGGAGGGGTGATGGATAAAGAGTTTCCATTAGTGACCCATGTAATGTTAGCACACACTTTGTGGTAATGCTAATTATCTCACCCATTACAAAGATAGCTTCCTCAATTATCACCCCTAATATCATTATCTCACAGACACTAATCTTTCCCCCCTCTCCTCCCCAGTTCTAAAATCTGATTTGTCAATTTTATGTGTGTTCACTTTTTTTTTTAATTGTATCACTTTGGTATATATGGTCGTGCCAATTTTCTTCCACAAATTGATCTGAGGAAGTGGGTCTGGCCCTTGAAAGCTCATCACCTAATAAACCATCTTGTTAGTCTTTAAAGTGCTGCATAGTCCTGTCTTTTGGTTCAGCTAGACCAGACTAACACGGTTGTATCTCTATCACTATTCTGTGGTAATATGAGAGTGACTGAACATTGGACAAACTGGGAAATGCCACATAAGGATGTTCCTGGGGATCTACACGAGAGTGTCAGAGCACTCCAAGCAAAATGCATTGCAGCAGGAGAGCATCTGGAATGAACTCCAGGATGAGATGCAGTAACTTAACCAACAATGTCAAAATTAATGGAAAATTCTGGATTGCTTACTCTGGACATAGTAACATTCATTGTGTAATGAGCACACGACTCAGAGAGACGCACAGAACCATGGGACCCACTCTAAGCAACGATCTCACATTATAGTAATTTGGGAAAACCTGTACGGTATTAAAAATTGTAGGTATTAAAAATCTGAGAATGTACAGAAATTCCTTTAAAAAAGCAGCTTTAATTTCTTGCAGTTTATCTGATGGCGTCTATCAGATGTGCTGCTCGTCTTCCTTTATCTACACAGCTTGTTTTAATTTTGCAGAATTTTGGAACAGTCATTTAAGGTGCAAAACTATGTGGACAGGCCAAAAAATTATAAAAATAAGAAGTCAAATGGTTCTCTCAAAGGAATCCATTTGAGATATGTAAGTTCATATGTGCTCTGAATCAAAAAATTCAATACTTTTCACTCCATCCTGGTCATGTGTTTTGAATAAGCATGCATACATTTATAATTCATTAAGAAAATGTAGGATTAAATGTTAGCTCATGTGCCTTAAGAAAGAATTCTTCAATCAGCTTCTTCAATATAGGACCAACAAAGAAAAAACCAAACACCACTTATCACCGTCAATATAGGACCAACAAAGAAAAAACCGAACACCACTTATCACCAACAGCCCCCAACTTAAACCCCTCCAGTGCATTAACAACTATCTACAGCCTATCCTGGAAAATAACCCCTCACTCACACAGTTCTTGGGGGACAGGCCAATCCTCACCTACAGACAACCCCCTAACCCGAAACAAATTCTTTCTAGCAACCATGCAACACACCATCATACTCATCCAGGAATCCACTCCTGCAATCATCTCTGGTGCCAACTCTGTCCACACATCTATACAAGTGACATCATCACAGGACCTAACCACATAAGCTACCACATCAGAGGCTCATACAACTGCCCATCCTCCAATGTGATCTGTGCCAGCAATGCCCCTCTGCCATGTGTACTGGCCAAACTGGACAGTCTTTACAACAAAGGATTAATGGAAACAACTCAGGTTTTTGAAATGGTGACACAGAAATCCATTGGGGAACATTTCAACTTGCCCACGCACTCACAAATGGATCTAAAAGTGACTATTATTATTACAAAGTAAGGATGTTAAATATCAATTAATTTACTAGTTGAATAGCCGATGGAATTTCCATCGACTACTCAACTTGTCAATAGGTACTTCCGCATTCCTCCTTTGAAACATACAAGAGCCCCAGGGAGGGCTCTTGTGCATTTCAAAGCAGAATCGGGGCTCTTGTGCATTTCAAAGGGGGAAGTGCCCTCGTGGAGCCCGGAGTCAGCAGGAGTTCCCGCTGGCCCCAGGCTGCATGCGGCGTGCCAGCCTTGAAATGTGTAAGAGTCCTCAGCAGGCGCTCTTACTTGAAATGTGTAAGAGTCCTCAGCAGGCGTTCTTATGCATTTCAGAGCAGAAGCGCCCGCATGAAGCCTGGGGTCAGTGGGGGACTGTAAGTCCCCCAATGACCCTGGGCTTCACAGGGCACTGTCACTTTGAAATGCCACACGGAGCTTGGGATCAGTTAGGGAGTCCCCAGCTGACCCCGGTCTCCATGCGGCGCTGCTGCTTTGAAGTACTCCCTTTTCCTCTCCCTCACCCCCTTTGTTGCCTCTGATAGGGGCAGCAAGGACGGGGGGGAGGGAAGCGACTAGTCGACTCAACTATCCAATAAGCACTTGCTCATCACTTTGAAGTAGGAGATCTCCGGAAAAGGGCTTTTTGAAGTAAGAGATCTCTGGAAAAGGGCTTTTTTCCGGAGGATCGGGGCCAGTGTAGACGCTCTTTTCCGGCTTTTAGAAAAGCCGGAAAAAAGCAGCGGACATTTTTATTTAAATGCCGCAGGGGATATTTAAATCCCCCGCGGATTTCCCTATTACGACCTGTCAAATTAGCATGCCCCTTTCGGAAAAGGGGCCAGTGTAGACGTAGCCACTATGTCTGAAGTGCACACAAAAGATTGTTGTTACCATAGAATAGTGGTTTTTCATCACATCTAAGAGTTCCAAAGGAATCAGTGCCTCAATGAAATTTTGTAGGGGTCTACAAGTGAAAATATGTTGAAAACCACTGCTCGACTTCTGAGGAGAGAATGGAAATTGATTTATAAAATTACTAACCTGTTACCAAAGACTACACTGACGAAGTCCATGATGAACTCTTCTGGTATCCTTGAAGAAAAGACCAACAATATAAGATAAAAATGTAAACGTAACTACCATTTTCTTTCAAGTTATGTACCCTTTTCTTTCAAGTTATGTAAACCACTATATATTTAAAAACACAAATAGGTTCAAACTCTCTAGTCTGGCACTGTCTGTGGTCCAGCATGATTTTGGTTAGCCGGATGTCCACTTATCATGGGTGTGGCCACGTCTCCCACAGTCCCTTAAAGTTTGTTTACAGCTACCAGGCCTGGCTGTTAGTGTTATGTGCTGTTATTTAGCTCTAAATTACCCCTAAATGTCTTCTAAGAGCCCAGTAAGCACTGGAAGCATTGGTAATGCTGGTAGACAACACTGACCTCCTATGGTCCAGCAAATCCTCTGGTTTGGCACTGGTCAGTTCCTGAAGGTGCCGGACTAGAGAGGTTCAATCTGTAGTTTTATCAATATTTTATATTTTTCCTCATTTAGAATGGCTATCAGATTTTAAACAATCACTTAAGTTCAGTCAAATTTAGAGGAACATAGCCTACAAGGATTCCACTACATTTTATATTCAACATCTTGGGAACTCCATTTCACCTTTCCTTCCTTTGTTTATTCCCTAAAGTAAATGGTTAGTTACATCAAGTAGGAATTGCAAAGGTACTCAGCACTGGCCTAATTCTGCTTCCAGTGAAGTCAATCAGTGTTTTATTAGCGACTTCATTGGGAGCAGAATTAGGCCAAAGCTGGGTGCCTTGGAAAATCCCAACCAACATATCTTTTTTGAGGTTACTTCCCTCTCATCATTCTGAGATGCTTTTCTTTGCAAATCTTTTTCTTCTCTATCCTTGAACTTTAAGATAGAAGTGGCGAGGAGTCCTGTGGCACCTTATAGACTAACTGAAGTGTTGGAGCATAAGCTTTCGTGGGCAAAGACAAAGTGGGTCTTTGCCCACGAAAGCTTATGTTCCAAAGACCCACTTTGTCTTTGCCCACGAAAGCTTATGCTCCAACACTTCAGTTAGTCTATAAGGTGCCACAGGACTCCTCGCCACTTCTATCTTAAAGTTCAAGGATAGAGAAGAAAAAGATTTGCAAAGAAAAGCATCTCAGAATGATGTAGAAATCTCTGGAATAGCTCAGTGTTTATGAAAAAATGTTACATAGAATGTGTTTAATAATATTGCATTCACATAACATTTTAATGCATACAACAATGTACTGAAGATCAAAAAACCCAGGAAAGATTCCTGGCTGGAATGGCTTATTGGTTATAGGTGGGATAGAAACACACAAGAACAACGTAAGAATTTACATAGATTGGGTGTGGCCATTGTATCTTGAATGCTCAATGGAAAGGAGGATTTTAAATAGCTTCTTTTAGGGGAAGTTTGGTTTACATTAGGGATGTTAAAATGCATGAAATTAGCTAACCATGTACAAATTTCAGTGGTTACAGAGTTACACATAGGGCAGCAGTCAGCTCCTGGCGCACACCCGCTGCGAACCAACTTCTGCCTGCCTCACCACTCCCAGGGAGCTGGCTGCTGCCCCGTACAACATAGGCAGCAGCATGGGGCGGCAGGCAGCTTCCCAGAAGACAGACCAGGAGCCGTATGTAGTCATTTAAATGGCTACTCTCTTGCATCCCTAGTTTACATTGGTGGGAAGGGTATTCCAGACACAAGGAAGAAAGCAGAGGAGTGCTTTTCTGGCTCTGTATGCATCCTCTCTGATATTAAAAGCAAAAGCCCCATGATATCAACACTGCCTGTATTCTCTGGGCAAGCATTTCTACTGAAACGCCCCCACAGAAACAAGGTTCTTTATGGCAAACAACTCTTCCTGGCTGCTCCTCTGTAATGGCTGAACAAAGGGGACTAAAGGGCACTATCAATGCACTGTGTTGATTGTTCCAATGTAGATTACTCAAACACACATGACATTCTAATACAGCCTTTGCAGCCCCATTATTTTCACAATTCAACTTATGCTTTCAAGAAACCCACAATGTGCAGACATTGTCCCTGGATTAAGTAGCTTACATTTTAGTCCAGGCAGTCACAGAAGGAAGAGATCAGACAAACAGTGTGGAACTGGAAATGATGCAAGTATCCAGCAATGATAATTTTTAAAGGATTTGTTGAAAAGAGTGTTTCCAAGAGAGGTCTGTGGCACAAAGAGGAGGCTGTGAAGGCACCCTTATCCAATGTTATGGACCGTACGTTGGCCCGAGCTTCCAAAATACTAAGTATGCAGAGAAAAAGGATTCTTACCAGTGTTTGCAGCCTCACTCCCACTATCTCAGCAGCTTTTGTATTGCTAAATGAAAGGTGAATTTGAGAGGCTGCTATTTTCTCTGCTGATGAAAGTGTGTATCTAGAGAAAACCGGCATGTTGTGATCCTGCATGACAACTAGAGAGACAACGACAGTGAGGCAATCCATCCTAAGCAGGCTTGTCTTCTCCGCCTCCTTTTCCACTAGACCTATTGAGGCTAAGAGCCAGGGTAAGGAACTAAAGATCATAAAAGCAGTTGCCAAGATGCTGAGAGCTATAGTACCTTTGTATGTCTGATACCAGCCAAAACAGTTTTCAGCCTCACTGAAGGGAATGGTATGGACTAAGGGGAAGGCAAAAGCAAGCAATATGACTCAATCCCATAAGTTCAGGAGGAGAAACATCAGACAACTTGCTGTCTCTGCTTTGCCTGCCCAAATTCTGGCAGCTAATCAATATAAGAGAGCTGTTGTTCAGAAAGGTACATGTATTCTTCATATATGTGGTCATGGTGCCAATTAGAAATCTTGTCCCAACACCACATGCCAGTTGATGCAAATGGAGATATTTCTTTGGTTAATTAATACATCCCAGGGGAGCGAGTGTGTGCTTTGCATACAGTTCAGATATGCTATGCAACAAGATTAAAGCCATTTCCTATAAGAATCACTGAAGTTGTGAAAGAGCCAACCCATCTAAAACATAACAGCTTTCAAAATCCCTGTCTGCCCTCCTGAGCAGAAAGATGCTATTTACTCATTTAAAAACCTAGCCTCCAGATGAGCAGAAATCGTGATTAAAAGAAAAAAAATCATATGAAAACGTTAGAAGACACCTCCCCTTAACTTAATTAGCTTATTAGCATCTCACCAGGGTACGAGAAAACTACCAGTGTAAACTTCTAGGATTGAGAGCAGTATGAACACACAGGCAAGTGAACTTTTATGACTATGCCAACCACATTAACGGCAGCAATGAAGCATGTGTATTGTCACTCTCGTGTAATTTCCTGTTAGCAAGAAAGGCCAATCCTGTAACAAGAGTCACCTAGGCTGAGTAATGAAGTCTCTTACCTGGGAAGAAAGTGTTGGTAATAACATGATTAATCTATTAGTGGGAGGCAAAAACAACAAACAAGTGTCACACAATGGCACAGTGGTCAAGAGCAGGGGACTGGATGTCAGGAATCTGGATTCCATTTCCAACTAACGCTGTCTTGTGCTTTGAAAAGTTTTATTTTTCAATCTCAATTTCTTCTGTACAACAGGGATAATATTTACTTACTCACAAGTGGCATGACTGTTATTTTCTCTTGACCATATTAATGAACTTCTTAATATTCCACACAGAGAAGATAAAGCTCCTGCCTTATTCTAGGGCAAATAGGCAAACAAATTCGGATGCCTTATTCTAGGGCAAATAGGCAAACAAATTCAGATCCAGTACACCAGATGTTCAAGGACCAGTGTTCCCTGTAAGCTCTGCCACTCAGGAGAGATCTGAATGCCACCCAGCTGATTAGCAGTGTCCTCAGCAAAGTTTTTGTTTTTACCAGTGGTACACATTAGCACATGCTCTGCAGCATATTAAACATGTATTCTGCACATGGATGGAAAAGATAAAAGGAAACATCGTGAAGGACTGGAAAGTCATATCAGAGTGGTGCAGATTTATTAAAAAAGTAGTGTTGGAAAGGGCTTCTCAGAAAAATGCAAAGGAGACAAGGCAATACATTGACCTAAATGAAAAGGGAGACCGTCCCAAGCAGTGGGGTAGCATGAAAGGTGATACAAAGATGAAATGGGGACAGTGTACAAAGAAGAATGGGGTTATGCAGGAAGATTGGATAGCTTAAAAAGTTAACTGAGAGGTCAGCAGCCCCAACTGCCAAAAATCTTATTGAAAGCAGCTTTGGGAGACTGAAAGAGGCAGAAACCTGAATGAATGCCAAAGAACTAGGAGACAGAATGTTAGTAAGACAATTTGAGAGCCCAGTAAAAAGATGCTACACAGAAGCATAAAATATTAAAAGAAACACACAGGGAATGGGTTGCATTTTCTCTTATTTCTCCCCATTTCAATGTTCAGCAACAAGCTATGAAGATCCCTACTGTGCAGTTAGGACGAACTTACTGGTCCTGAACTTCTATACAAAGATATTATTTCCAGACTGAAATGGATTTTGACACAGTTGTTGTAACAAACATTGTGCTTTGCTGGCTAATTAGCACAAGCGATCACAGCTGAACAATGCAGTAGGATTTCATGAGTGTTATATCATTGTCCTTTCAAAGCAAAAAGTAGGACAGTTCCTCAACTTCTGAAATGTTGTCACTGTCTTAGCAAACATACGTACAAAGTATTGCATGGCGGGTGTGTGCACGCGCATGTCACATTTGTATAACCTACATAAAGGACTAAATTGTGCCGTCTCCCCTATGTATGAAATTTACTGCATGAATTCAATGCCAAATCATATCTTACACAATGCCTGAATATTTCTCCTGGCTTCACATGACCTCATTATCAAAGTATTATATGCAAATTACCTCTGAATGGGACCGCGTTACATTACACTATTTCACACAATAGCTCAGTTGATATCATGGTAAAATAATCAAAGTGGTAATCAAGTTCTTTTGGGGAGGAGGGTGAGATGGATGGAGAGTGATGGATGGAAAGGGTGAGGAAAGGACAAAAAGGCTCAGTTCTTTGTTATGTTGCATTTGAAGGATGAAGCCAATCTCATACAGTTCTTTCAGCAGACTCATTGGTATTTTGTTATACTAATCACTCTGACATTTTAGAACAAACCTAACTTTGAAGAGCTGTATTTTTTTTTAAAACAGGGAGTGTTTGGAGAAAACTAGTCTGACAGCCTGGGAGCCTCAAATCCTCTATCTACAGAGCAGGTACAGCTCAGAAAGTAATAAGCACAAGTTCCTTTATACCACACTTTCAGTGTGCCTTGAACTGGAGAATGCTGGCGAGGGTTGTTGCTGGGATTGAAAGTTTTATTCTATTATATTTGTATTTTAGGATTAATAATGTAGCAATGCAAGGTAACGTATTAACACATATCATCATTTTATTAAATTAAGCCCTTTAGTAAGCCCTTTTGTTTTAAAGTTTAGTCAATTTAGTAACTAAGGAAATAGAGTTTTGGTATTGTGTCTATGTTAATGAGACTAGAGGGCTGTTGAAGGCTGAAGTTTTAATTGTTTGATTTACAATGCCTCTTGCTTTGCCCAATATGAGATATTAATGTTATGCTTTTCTTCGAAAGGCCTTGTAAAAGATTGTGTGTGTGTGGAAGTGGTATGTGTGTGTTGAGATAAAGGTGCAAAGGTTATTGCTCAGAACCAGATGGCCAAAGGAGGGGTGAGCGTGGGTGAAAACAGACTGATCGGCGTTAGAAGATCCATCAGTAACCACCAGTGCGTACCCACGGCCAAGGAATGATTGGGTTGGCAGATTGACGGCTTTAAAGTGGAGCAAGCACCCCTAAAAGACGACTGATTACAGGATGAGCTTTGGAGGTGTTTTGGGAATGACTGACATCAACAAGATAACATGTCAGTCACGGGCTGACACAACGGAATCCATTAACTTCAACAGAGAAAAGGATTATAAAAGCAGGGTGCTTTGCTATGGAACTTTGGATTCGTCTTGCCACCAACTCCAGAGGAGCATCAGATCCCACGACCGACAAAGGTCCTGCTCTCCCTCTGTGATTGATCTAACTGGCCACTAGATTGATACAGACTCTGGACTGGTAATTATAACATCGTCTGGAGGGACTGTGTGTCTCTGTGTGTGTGTGTGTGTGTGTGTCTGAAAAGCATATGCAACTGTTGTATTCTCAATAAATGCGGTGTACTGCCTTTTCCCCTATAAAAAAATCTTGTGCACTTCGTTTAAGCATAACATTGTGACTGGCTAGATTCAATCCTTGAAATCTCAAAGTGACTCTCAATCATAGTTGTGCTTTTGTGATGCTCTTACTTGTTCATGGGGAACTGGCTGGGAGCACATACTCATTTCACAAAGGCTGTCACTAGATAGCATCAACTTTTGGATGATACTGACCGGGGCTGGCTTTCAATTGGCAACCTAAATGGGAGGCTGGTTTGAGAAATTCATAATGACACAGAGCCTCTCCCCCCCCACAAGGAACAATGATTTTGAAAAAGTTGATTACAACAGCTTGTTCCCTCTTCAGGGAAGCAGTTGTACAAAAACAGTTACAGTGAACAATTGACGTGAAATAAACGGGCATACCTAAGATTCTGCAGATCTTCCTTAAAAACCTACAAAGACAAGGAATGTGCAATTTACATACTGTAGACTTGAAAACTGGTTCCTCGTTACAAATAATATACATTTACAAAAACTAAAATAGAGATAGCTTACTTGTTAGCCCTCCCAGAAAATTATTCTGTACTAATACTCCTGAGATGGCAAAATGGGTGTTTCAGATGTGTTTATGTGACTTAAGGAGCAGAAGTCAATTGTCAGTGGGGATGTGTGCTCCTAAATCACTTAGACATATTTATACTGCCCACTACTGGCAGCAGCATGTAAGGCATGATTAGCTACCTGCCATATTGAAAGGCAAGTTGTGCCCTCAGTGTGGTGTGTAGCTGTATGAATCAGTGCAAGGGCATAGAGGCAGCAGGGAAAGGCTCTGGCAGCAGGAGACTATGCTCCTAAAAAATAGCAATGTAGATGGGAAAGGCACTGCTCGGTCATGCAGAGAGTTATGCATTTATCCACAAGGTTCAAGCAAGTCTTGACTCTACTCGCCAAAGCAGTGCCTCACCATTATTTATACACTAGATAGGGATGTGTTGTATATGTGCTGCACACACTGCTGTAAGGAGTGAGCTTTGTAGACACATTTGAAAACTCCACCCAGTCGTTTTAAGAACAACCTCTGTTATTCCATCTTAATTATATATACACGTTTTTCCTTTTGGAATCATTTTTTGCTTTCCTGGAAATATTTCAGGATGCTAGTTTAAACTAAGAGAACAAAACAGAAGTTGCAAAAGATAAATTCCGAGCACTAAAGAAATGCAAATACATCATTATAACAGTACAGTGGGCGATCCCTCCTTACACCACCTTATGACAGAGAAAAAACATCTTGACACAAAAGATGCCAGGAAACTAAAAACTGGCATATTTAAAAAAGAAAATAAAATCAGACAAAGAAATAAACAAATTAAAATAAAGCAAAAGATAAGGGAAACAAAATAATGAAATCATAATGAACAGGAGAGGAGAAACAAGGCAGAGAGATTTCGTGACTTTTTTCGAATTCACAGGGAACATGTAGCAAAGCCATGAACAGAACTCAGGTTTTCTGATGCTCAGTGCCTTACTCTGTAATAGAGTAATGCTGTGCCCACGAAAGTTCATGATCTCATCTACATGTTTTGTTAGTCTTTAAAGTACTACCAGACTATTCGTTGTTTTTTAAAGTCTAACAATAAAATTATCCTTCCTTAAAGTTATAGATACAAAGCAAGGAAAAACAGGTGAACCGCACAATTTCACAGCACAGCATACATAGCAAAAATGTAGTGTAACAGGTGAACCGCACAATTTCACAGCATACATAGCAAAAATGTAGTGCAAAAAAGTTAATGGCAAAACAAAAGGCAAATTTTCAAAAAAAAAGAGAGACTGATACAAAATGAAGACAAACAAAACAGACATGCACAACCAGAATGCAAACGACCAAGGTAGAAAATGGATACAAGTAAACCTTTTCCATAAATTAAGCTTTCCCATAAACGTTTGGGGGTAAATGCAGAAACATCTTGCAAATCTGTATTTTAGGCCTTTTTAAAAATAGACTGACAAGATAAAAGATTAGTAACAACAAATGCATTCTCCGCAGAGAACCTTCTACCAGTTTTACCCAACCTTTTTGAGCTGAGCTACATACTCCTTGCAGTAATTTGCAAGCAGCACAACCGTAATTTATCAAAGCACCCTGCATTCCTTCTACTTACTTCTTGCTTGAAAGTTGATACAGGAAGCCGCAGGGCCTCTCTGAGAAGAGTATACATGCCAGAGATGAGCGAAGTGAGCTTCTCTTCTGATAGATCAGTGCTCTCTGCAATCGCCCTGACAGATTCTTTACAATCTTTTCCTTCCAATGCACTGACAACAACTGCAACAAAGAAACCAACAGCATGCTTCTGTACAATGGGGAAAGTGCAATGTGTGTGTAGACACGCACACAGGTATTTCCCTAATTTTGCTTGGATGAGGAGGCTGGCCTTCTCCTCTGGCAATGATATACCACCCCATGTCTTTGTAAATACAACTCACTGTTCACCAGATCTATTGTGCAACACCATTTTGCACACAAAGCTTGAGTTGATGGAATAAGTGCTACATTTTAAAGTAGAACTGTTAGCAGCAGTGGCTGAGCTTGATTTGACTAATTTGCTTCCCATCATGAAACTGAAAATGGAACACAAATTCTTTCATCATCAGGTCACTGGTTTAAATCACATGGATGCATAGTGACCCAAATTCATTCACATCACAAGTCTGTTTTGGTGGTTTACCTACTTTAGAATTACCTGTACTGCTGGCACTTGTTAGCAGGAGCAGGACTGAGAACTAACTTTCTTTAGATACCAGAATTACAAATGACACCTGGTTACAAGCTCTGCAAAGAGGTTAAAGAGCAAATGGACAAGAAGGTAAAGCAACATACTTACTCTCTTGAGCTGGCCTCTCTCAATCAATATCAAGACACATTTTTGGAGCAGTTTGCACTGTAGTTAACGTGCAATACCAGCATCAAAAGTCAGCCAGGCTGCATCATCATAAAGAGACACCTTTGGTTGGACTCCCCAAGACCTTCAATATCTGCTTACTGAAATATTTACCCGGCATTGCCTGGGTCCTTAACGCTATTAATATTTGTTTTTTTAGAAAATAAAAGAGTGGGTCTGAGATGAGTTCAGTATACAGGCTGCCCCGGGAAAGGAGCAGCAGCTTGGAGCCAGGTGAGAGGCACCTGTCCATGGCTGCTGCAGTTCTGGCTGGCACAGCTGGGAGAGGGGTGCTTGTCCCCCCAGCTGGGGCAAGTACAAGTTCATCTGCCTCCTGCACTCCCCAGCCAGAGTGAAGCCAGGTCTACATTAGACCTGGAAGGTCAGGTTAAGGTACGCAACTCCAACTACATAATACATAGCTGGAGTCTGCCTACCTTAAGCCGAGGTTGGTGCCATCTTCACAGAGGGAGGCCAACGGGAGCAAATGCTCTCATTGGCTTCCTTTACTCCTTGCAACTGCGAGGAATACCAATGCCGACTGGAGCTACCCTCAGCCTTCAATTTCACTAGACTTGCTAAATTAAATGCCAGAAGATCGATCTCTGGTATTGTTTTCTCTGAAGGGGTGTCTGGGAGGCAGGAGACTCTGGGATGGGGCAGTCCCAAGTGGGGATGTAAGCAACTAGTCAGGTAGTTAATAAGTAGTATGCTTATTATTATCCAATAAGCATAGGCTACTCATCTATTTGCTGAGTGACTACTCGCTTCCTCCCCCCCCCACTGCTTCTGTATCAGAGGCAGCAAGCGGTGGGGGTGGAGGGAAGGGAACAGGAGATGGTGCTGGGGGGGGCCAGCTTAAAAGCCGGTTCCCCCACAGCACTGTCTCCATGGTGGGGAGTGGAGAAGGGGAGGGGAGGCAGAGCTGCAGCAGTCCCAGAGCGGGTGCGAGCCAGGAATATTTAGTCCGGGCTCATGCCACCCCCAAGAGCTAACCCTGTTGTGGCTCTTACTACATTTAAAATACAAAGTAGCAACAGTGGCAGGGAGCACCCCCCCAATCGACTAATAATCAATGGAAATGCCATTGACTACTAGATTAGCTAAACAGCCGCTAATTAACTTCCCTAGTCCAGGGTGTGTGTGTCCATCCCAGCCAGCCTGTTTCACCTACCTGGTGATTCTCTCTTTTCTGTATGGTTTTACGAAGAGAAATCTCATTCCAGGCAAACCCCGTTTTCCTGGCACAACCAAACCTTCCCTTGGTTTAAGTTATGATAAGAGGAAACTGCATACCCAATTTGGTGGTTCTAGCTCTTTCCAATTAGGAGGAATTCTTGAATAGACAGACAAACTCTACTGTAGGTTTTTTCACATCCCATATACACAAAGGATTATCAAATGAATTTGGCTTATATACAATGTTGCATCTACAATCAGATCTTATGGGCAGACCTCACAAACTCAGGATGCTCTATTGGAAAAGATTAACATCTACCTAAGTGGATGGGTTTGCAGGACCAGACCTATACACAAAGGATTATCAAATGAATTTGGCTTATATACAATGTTGCATCTACAATCAGATCTTATGGGCAGACCTCACAAACTCAGGATGCTCTATTGGAAAAGATTAACATCTACCTAAGTGGATGGGTTTGCAGGACCAGACCTTTAAACTGAAAACATATTATGCTTGATTTTCACGTTTTATTCCAGGAGGTAAAGCAGTTAAAAATGGCCAGGCTGGAACAGCAGCTTAACATTAAGGTTTAAAAAATAAAAAAAGTTCTAACTGAACTGCCAGATTTCCTTGTGGTATTCAACTAATTCCACTCACTACCAGCTTCTATTTTTGGTCAATTTTATTTACTTTTGTACATTTTTAGATGCAGTGAAAGATTCTATTAAAAAAAATCAGAGCAGTAGACTGAAATCTTCTGTATGTATCCACAGAACAGATGTACACATTTTTCCATAATACTGGAAAATGAGTCAACCTTAAAGCTGAAGAATTGTCTTTAAAGAAGAAGGGGAAGATTCCTTCTTTACTGAAACTGCCTAAAAGAGTGTCAATTAGTACCAACTAGTGAGGATGTTTTTTCTGTTATACATCTAATCCACATCCAGACTAGAAAAGCAGGTTGTGTTTTACAACACATTAGCTAGCTGTGATCAACCTAACAGAGATCAGAGAAGGGGGGCAGGTGGTGAGGTTAACCAACACAATCAACCCAGTTTACAGTAAGTGCAACATCTTTAAAAATCACATAAGTTACAACATACTAGCTATTATGTTTTAAAACAATCTGTTTTCTTCATTTGGACATTACACAGAAATTGAACTGGGATCAATAATTACCAAGCAGCCACATGACCATAAATGACCAAAGAAGTGAAAATTTCCTTTTCTCATTAGCGAAGCTTATGAGTATTTCTCTTCAAACCAATATGATCTATTTTACAATGTATATTACACTACCCTAGAATGCACAAACTGTTTATTGCAGCACATTGTAAACAACTACCTAGATTTATTGGACTGCTGATATTCACATTCTAGTAACATTCCCAGTTGATACTTTTTCAAGATTGATTACTGGTAGGCAGCATGTCCAGTAGATAGAGCAGAGGAGACCTAGGTTTTCCTCCAGGCTCTGGAAGTGGCTCAGATGACTTCACTGCACCTTAGTTTCTCCATCTGTCAAAAAGGGATAACACTGATTCCCCAAAACCCTTGTGAATAAGGTAAACTAAATGCTGAGATCAATGTATGGCTGGATTGTGAGAGTGCAAAGGTTGCTTGCAACATGAAACTTCATCACACATCCAGTGAGTCAGAGCTAACATGCCATTAATGTACACTTTCAGACTTACATTCAGGAGAGCTTCCAATACTTTTGGCAGGAAAACCTTGACACTCTGGTTTTACATATTTTCAACTCTGCGGTTGTATGACATTCCATGTCATTTTGACATTAGCTAGAATATAGTATGATACATAAACAAATTCACCACAACTTCCAAGGCTGCCAAACCTTCAAGCTACAATATAGTATGACACAATCAAATTCACACCTTTCAAGGCTGCCAGTCCTTTAATGGAGTAATAGTTTGTAGTATACAGCTTGTAGTTCACCGTGTGCTAGAATGTCAGCAAGAGGAAAAGACAGGTAGATGAAGACTTGTTCTAGCTCTGCTTATTCTGGAAAAGTAGGTTTCCTTTGGTCATAAGTGAAAATTTGATCAGGGTGCTGCAACAATTTCTACAGTGGGATGCTGAGAGCCAAAGGTAAACCCTGTGATGGAAACCACTTCAAGTCCTGGGGTATGACAGCAGGACCCCTAGCTCCACACCTGTGGTCTGGGGAGCGAATTGAAGATTGAGAAACACTGACTTAGAACATGGAAACAAAGTGGTCCATGAAACCACTTTGAAAAACCTATTAACTGGCTGCACCAGATTGATTACTTACCGGCGCCACAGAACCTTGTGGCTCCTATTGGCTCCCTTTTGCCATTTGCAGCCAAGGGGAGCTGTGGGAAGCAATGGCCTAGGCCATGACCCTTCCTGTAGCTGCAAACAGCAAAACAGAGCCAATAGGAGCTGCAAGGCTCCATGGCTGTGGCGCCGGTAAGTAAACAAACTGGCATGGTCAGTTAACAGGTTTCTCAAGGAGGTTTTGTGGACCACTTTGAGAAACACTGTTCTAAGTTAAAATAATAAGCATGTCTGAGAGACTGGTTGCTCCTCCTATGTGAGGAAGGATGCACTGCACAATGAACTTACCATGACATCATTACCACTGAAGTTAAATCAATATAGGATTTAGGGAGAAGAGGCACTCATTCCTGGTGCCACTGTGGTTTCCTACCTCCAGTCCTCCTTAGTAATACTGGCCTGGACAAAAATGGATCTGCATCCAATTTTGCTTGACCATCCAGTGAATCTGCCTATCTTTTATTCCATTACCTACAATTATTATGTATCTGGAGATCTAGCTTCAGTTATGAGCTAGATGCTCTATTATCACTCCGATATAATAGCACTAGGATGCTAATGCCAACTAGAGTCAGACCTTAAGACACCTGCGTGCAGATACAAACTTTATACCAACATTCAATCTGTAAATATAGTTTACAGATGTCCTCGTCCCTGGATGCATATATCCGTGGACTTGCAAGGCTCTACAGACCATCTTAATCTAACAGCTGTTTACTGTCTGCTTTTTAGAGTTTTTAGCTCTCTCTCTCTATTATTCAGATCCAGTACTCTCTCTGGGGAAGAGAGTTGCAGGATCCTAAAAAGAGGAGGAATCCAGGCCCACTGGTGGGGAGTACCTGCAGGAGGAAAAGCAGGAGGCCTCTGCCTGTTGCAGGGGATGCAGGATCCTGGGGAGACACAGGATGGCAGGGAAGGGCACAGAATTCC